ACCTTGTTGTCTCGGATTCTCCAGCATCTGCAGTTCCTACTATCTCTATTTTTGATTCTTTCAGATTGCTTTTCCACATTTTAACCTATTGTTTATTAAGTAACATTTTTGTTCTCACTGAGGTGTGGGACATCAATATTGAATAATGGAACATTTTCTATTTCAGATGCTAAGCAAACATTCTCAGCACAGATAGAGTGCAGTACTTCACTCTGACCTGACTCAGAAACTCAGTGATAGTTCCAGTTTTTCTTAGCTAGTAGGGAAAATGGGATTACAACAGAGAATTTGTTGCCAGTGTTTTTATTACAAACTTACGCCCCCAAAGAACTGAGTCAACACAATCCAAAATCATTCCTCAAAGATTTCATACAGAGAGAATAAAGATTCTTTTACTCTATGTTGGCTTTCATCCTAGCAGCTGGAACAATGACAAGACGAGGTGCCAGTTCTCTGCACCTTCCATTTCACCAACACTCTACTTTTTAAGTGACATGTATGCAGCACTGTAAGAGTGGGGAGTGATGGAGAGGACAGGATCTGAGAGGGTGGGGAGTTTGGGGGTCAGCGATTGTGAGGGTAGGGAGACAAGGGTGCAAAAGGTTTAAGGGCATTGAAGGATCCAGGAACTGTGAGGGTGGGGATTGTGGGGGTGAGGAGTGAGGGTGGCCAGAGCTGTGAGAGTGGCAAGTTGGGGGAAATGGGGATTGTGAGGGTGGCACATTGGCAGGGAAGGGCTGAGTGCAGGTACTGTGAGGGTAGGGTCTTGGGGTGAGGGGGTACTGTGGGCATAAGGTGTTGGGGTATGGAGGGGTAGGAACTGTTTTAAAAAATATAAAAATAAATGAGAAATTGAACATAACATGCAAATGGATATTATGTACAAGCATGCCCCATGACTAGAAGAGACAGTGTGGGATTTTCTGCTGGAGTGATCATACTATGGAAGGAAAACTCTCAGAAAAGGTGCTGCTGCCAGATTTCTGACCAATGGAATGATGGCCCCATCAAGGACTCATTTACATCCAACCAGATCAAAACCACCTTATCCAGTACAGAAACAAAAACAGAAATTGCTGGAAAAACTCAGCAGGTCTGACAGCATCTGTGAAGAGAAATTAGAGTTAATGTTTCGGGTGAAGCGGCCCTTTTTCAGAACTGATGGTAGCTAGGCAAATGTTTTTTATGCGGAAGATAGGGTGGGGTGAGGGGGGTAAGTAGTAACTAATAGGTAGAGATAGAACCCAAAGAGAGAGAAGCACAGTTGGACAGACAAAGGATTAAATAACAGACAGCCTTGGAGTATGAGTGGCTGCTAATGGGGACTATTACTGGCTAACAATGGGTAGTATGCAATAGCAGACCATGTGATAACAAGGCCTGGCGTGTGGGGGATGAGGCAAGGACAAGGGAGAAGGTGCTCAAGCCCTAAAATTATTGAACTCAATATTAAGCCCAGAAGGCTGCAGAGTCCCCAGGTGGAAGATGAGGTGTTGTCCTTCCAGCCAGCACTGAGCTTCACTGGAGCCTGAGACACAAATTTTGTTGGCCAGGAATCAAGGTAGTGTTGTGAAATGGCAGGCAATTGGAAGCTCAGGGTCTTTTTAGCGGACAGAACGTACGTATTCTGTGAAGCACTCTCCCAGACTGTGCTTCGTATCCCCAATGTAGAGGAGACCATGCTGTAAGCAGCAAATACAATAGACTGGAGTGAGTGAAGTGCAGGTAAAGCACTGCTTCACCTGAAGGTGTGTTTAAAACCTTGGATCTTGAGCAGGGAGGAAGTAAATGGACAGGTGTGACACCTTCTCTGATCATAGGGGAAGGTGGAGTGATGCTGTGGGGATTAGTTGGGAGTGAGGGAGGAATGGACCAGGGTGCGATGGAGGGCACAGTCCTTGTGGAAAGCTGATAAGGGAGGGGTGGGGCATATATGGGTGGCACAGTGGCTCAGTGGTTAGCACTGCTGCCTCACAGCACCAGGAACCCGGGTTCAATTCCACCCTCGGGCAACTGTCTGTGTGGAGTTTGCACATTCTCCGTGTCTGTGTGGGTTTCCTCCGGGTGCTCCGGTTTCCTCCCACAGTCCAAAGATGTGCAGGGTAGGTGGATTGGCCATGCTAAATTGTCCATAGTGTCTAGGGTGGGAAATGCAGGGATAGGATAAGGGGTGGGTCTGGGTGGGATGTTCTTTGGAGGGTTAGTGTCGATTCAATGGGCTGAATGGCTGCTGCCATGCTGTAGGGATTCTATGATCAATAATCTATGTATCAGGTGGTAGCATCCTGCTGGAGGTGGAGGAAATGACAGCTAATGATTCTCTGAATGTGGATGCTGGTGGGATGGTAGGTGAGGACAAGGGAGACCCTATTGCTGCTGTGGGAGAGGAGAGAGGGGACGAGGGTGGAAGTGTGGGTGATGGGTCAGACCCAGCTGAAGGCCCCGTTAACCACGGTGGTAGAGAACCCTCAATTGAGGGAGAAGGTGGACATTTTGAAGGTCCCCTTGTCGAAGTTGGCACCATGAAAACAGATGCGACGGAGTCCGAAGAACTGGGAGAATGGAATAGAGTCTTTACAGGAAAAAGGGTGTGAGGATATATAGTCAAGGTAACTGTGGCAGTCTGTTGGTTTGTAGTGGATGTTGGCTAGCCTTTCCCCAGAAATGGAAACTGAGATGTCGGGGAAGGGAAGGGAGGAATCAGAGATAGACCAGGTGAATATGAGAGCGAGGTGGAAATTGGAAGTGAAATAGATAGACTTTTCCACTTCCGGATGGGAAAAGGAAGCAGCACCGATTATATCATTGATACACCAGAGAAAGATTTGTGGGTGGGGACCGGCATAGGACTGGAACAAGGAATGTTCCATGTACCCCACAAAGAGACAGGCATAACTGAGGACCACATGGGTATCCATGGCCACCCTTTTGACCTGAAGAAAGTGAGAGGAGTTAAAAGAGAAGCTATTCAGAGTGAGGATGAGCTCGACCAGGCAGAGGAGGGTGCTAGAGGATGGGTAAAGTTCAGACCTTTTTTCCAGGAAGAGGCAGAGAGCCTTGAAACCATCCTGATGGGTGATGGGCATGTGAAGGGATTGTACTTCCATGGTAGAGAGGAAGCAGTTGGAGCCTGCAAATTAGAAATTCTGAAACTAATGTAAAGCATCAGAGGAATCGTGAATCTAAGTGGGACAGGACTGGACAAAGGGAGAAAAACATTTCTATTCTTGTTTCTGATTTCTAGCATCTGTAGTTCTTTCATTTTTTTTATGCCAGTATAGGCCAGGAGATCTCAAATTAGTTTAATACTAGATTCATACTAGTCCATAAAGGAGACAGTAAGGACTGCCGATGCTGGAAGCCAAAGTCTATAGGTGTGAGGCTGGAAAGGCACACAAGTCAGACAGCATCCGAAGGGCAGGACGGTCAATGTTTCAGGACTAAACCCTTCATCAGGATTGGGGAGGGGGAGAGGAGCCCAGAAATATATAGAGAGGGAGGGTTGGGGCTGGGGGAAGGGTGGGTGGGATGGTGATAGGTGGATGCAATTTGGAGGTTATTGTGATTGGTTATAGTACCTCAGCTCTATCCAATCCCTTTTGGCTCAGGAACTCCCTACCTACAATTGTGACACAACCCACGCTCTCCACCTTTTCTAAATTTTTCAATTCCCCAGCCCGCAACACCTCATCTTCACCACGGATGTACAGTCCTTGTACACTTGTATCTCCTGTAGGCCCAACCAGTCGCCCTCCACTGCCTGCTTCTTTGTAGGATTTTTGGAACAGTCCCTCTTCTGCAACTACACCAGCATCATCCCTCAGCTCTTCCTCAGCTAGATTGATGACTGCATCAGTGCAGCCTCATGTTCCTGTGAGGAGATCAAGCAGTTCATCAGCTTCGCCAACACCTTCCACCCCGCCCTCAAATTCACCTGGACTATTTCTGTCACCTTTCTCCTCTTCCTGGACCTCATCATCTCCATTCCAGAAACTGACTCATCACTGACATCCATTTCAAACCCACTAATTCCCAAAACTACCTCACCTACACCTCTTCTCACCCATCCTCTTGCAAAAATGCTATACCATACTCCCAATTCCTCCACCTCCGCCATATATGCTCCCAGGATGAAGCATTCTACTCCAGGGCATCCCAGATGTCCTCCTACTTTAGGGATCATAATTTTCCCTCCTCTGTAATGAAGAATGCCCTCAACTGCATCTCCTCCATTTTGCGCACTTCTGCCCTCAAACCCCCTCTCCCCAACAGCAATAAGGATAGAGTCCCCTTAGTACTCACATACCACCCCAACAAACTCAGGATCCAACACACCAGCCTCTGACATTTCTGCCCCAACCAGACCCTACCACCAAAAAGATATTTCCCTCCCCATCATGTTCATTCTGTGGGGACCGTTCATTCTGCAACTCCCTTGTCAGTTCTACACTACCCACCAATTTCTCCACCACACCCGGTACCTTTCCCTGCAACCGCAGGAGGTGCAACACCTGCCCCTAAACCTTCCCTCTCACCTCTGTCCAAGGCCCCAGACAATCCTTTCAGATCCAGCAGAGATTCACCTGCACTTCATCCAACCTTTTCTATCGTATCCGTTGCTCCCAATGTGGTCTCCTCTATATCATGGAGACCAAACGTAGACTCAGAGATCAGTTCGCAGATCATCTGTGCTCTGCATGCATCACCTAGCCCGACCTTCCAGTTGCCATCCATTTTAATGTCCTCTTCCACTCCCCTGATGACATGTCTATCCCTGTCCTTCTCCACTGTCAGAGTGAGGCCAAACATAAACTGGTGGAACAACACCCGATATTTCACCTTGGAAGCTTACAGCCTAATGGCCTTAACATTGACTTTACCAGACTCAAAATCCCACCACCCCCAGCCTTATCCCATGTCCAGCCCTACCCGCGCCCCCACCCGGGCCTGACCTAACCTGTTCACCTTCCTACTCACCTACTGGCTCCAACCTTCCCATGGACCAATCACAACAACTCTCTACCTGCATCCACCTATCACCATCTATCCTACCCTTCCCCCAGTCCCACATCCCTCCCTCTGTTTATTTCTGGGCTCCTGTCCCCTTCCCCAGTCCTGACAAAGGGTTTCAGCCCGAAACATTGACTTTCCTGTTCTTCTGATGCTGCCTGACCTGGTGTGCTTTCCAACTTCACACCTACAGACTCTAGTCCTTAAAGGGTTTTCTTTCTCGGAGAGTAGATATTTTTGAATCAACTGTTCAGAGATGTTATTGCACACCTCTGGATCAGGTGGATCTTCAACCCAGGTTTCCTGGTGTATATGAGAAGAAAGTGAGAGTTCCCTTTCAGCCTAATCTCAGGTGTGATGATGAGTTGACGTACCTTGATTGAATGGCCTCCTCATTGCTCTTCCCTTTAATTCCTGCACCAGTATTCCCAGGATGAGAGCCATCGTCAGGCCAATTGGAAAACATCGAACTGATGACTTCAGAGAAAGCTGAATTCTGACCATATTTTTTCTCACTGCCTCTGTGAAGTAACAGACAGATCTTAAAAGCCCATGGAAAAGACTCTTTCAGTTTCAGACATGAACAAACCGTGAGCAAAATACCAGCCACCCCTCACATGAGCTCAAATTGTAAATGCTACCCAATTATTTTTGCTAGCTTCATATTGCGGTATACTTTACAGTGACTTTTTCCACTTCAAACCATTGTAGTTTCTTTCCAATAAAATGTCCCCTTTCCCTCAGAAATCCCTCAAGATTCTCTCACAGGATTCCATATGGATCAGTGCAAAAAATATGTTTTGATTCCTTCCTTCTCCTGAGCTTTCTGATATCAGTTAAAGGACATTATGACTGTCACAAATGTTCTGTTTGCATTTGTAGTAAGAAAAGGAGAGTAATAGCAGTTGGGATTCCTGTCTGAATCTCTGCTGCAAAGAAATACTAGGCAAGGAGAGATCAAGCTTCGCTGATGTTGGCCCTACCATCAAACCGCCTACAGATGCTCAGCATCTGAATGTTACATAACTAATAACTAGCTTTGTCATGTGGTATCCAGATGGCACAACAAAAACGTTACTGGCAGCTGTGAAACTGTGCTCAGAATGAGTCACCAGCTGCAAAGAAGTAAAGCAATGTAATGTAAGAAAATATATTTTATTTTAAAGCGCCTTTTTCGCAAATTGCTTTTTCTTCATCCACACTTGGCCTCTGATAAGTCCAGTTCTCTGAATCAATATTGAGATGTGTAAGAGGCACCTGGGAGTAGTCACTGTAACTTCCTTTTTTCTTCCTTTGTCCATTCATTGCCACTTTCTAATGGCTGAGTTCAGGAAACTGTGTGAGACAGACAACGTCGGATAGGCAGCAGTGTGCCGCTGTGTTTCAGAAATGCTGAGGACCACCCAATGCTAATGGGCTTCGAAGAAATGATAGCATTGTTGCTGTCATAGTTTAAAAGTACTTGAAATCACAATGTGGGGGCCAGTTTAACAGCTGGCATCAAGACAAAAATGGTTGTAAGAGCAAAATATTCTGCAACTGAAGAAGGGAAAGAGGGATAACAAGGTGTAGAGCTGG